AAAAAAAAAAAAAAAAAAAAAACACATCATAGTAAAACCAATACCTTCTTAGCTTCGCATCGAAGCTAAAAAATGGTCTAAGTAAATGTTATGGACATTTACTCAATCAATTTTTTTTGTATAAAGAATATAATTTAAAATAAATTTAATAACTTTTTTTATTTAAAAATTTATGAATTTCTATTTTTTCTAAAGGGAAGTTGAAAAAAAGAAAATTTTTAATAGAAGTTATTCAATACCCTAAAAATGTTTTGAATAACACCACTCCGTCTATATATTGAAAGTTAGCAATTATTTGATAACTATAAGCATTGCTTAAATGTAAATAAGACTCTGTCTCTAATAAGACGTTTTTAAAATATTTATAAGAAAATTATCTAAGTATGTAAATAATAATTTTCCAGACTAGACGTGGCCTGACAAAATTGTTTTCAATATGACATTTCGGTGGGTAATACTATTGGCTTTGGTCACTACTATTACAAGCGATGAAAGACATTTATTTAATGATGACGTAAACGAGCTATTTAATTGGTTTGATAACAGTGAAGCAAGATTAGGAACGTGGAGATCACCGGAAGGTGAAAATGACGAACAACATATAATTGATAACACATTGAAAAAGGGTAAGAAGTTTTATTATAAATTATAAATTCATATATATATTTATAAAGTACAGGCTACAACCCATTGTTAATAAATTTTATTAATTAAATACTTTTATATAAACATATTGAAGCTTGTTGTTAGGTTCTATGTATCGAACTGTGAGTACTCCAGTGTAGTAACACAAAATATTCCATACTAATTCATGAAAAAAATGTACCATTTTCTATTATTGAAAATAATTTATTATTCCATTTTGTAGATACCACAAATTCGTTCTTGCATTGTAAAGAAATTGTATATTTTTATCGAAAGAAAACATGTATAATCAAGTAACTACACTAAAGTACCACAGTATGATATAAGAGGGCGGGTCCAAACTAAAAAGTTAATTCCCTCTAAAAAAAATTCTATGGTTTCACTTACAAATATTTATTTAAATTTAAGAGAATTCTTTCAATATTTAAACATAATCTATTAGAATAGATATTATTCAAGTTTTTAGATCGATTGGTCTAATATATTAAACTAAAGCAAAGTATACAAGGTGACACGTAAAAAAATATATACAGAATAATAAAAGTGTGGTAAGACTTTCATTTTCGCAAAAACTATGGAATATTTTTAATTTTTTTAGAGAGAAAATTGATGTAATCTAAAAAACTACAAAAGGTTATAATTTTTTCATTCCATTATCACAGTTAAAAAACCTTAATTTAAAAAGTTTAATTTTTTTAAAAAGCAACATCTATTTTTCACTTGTTAATTTGATAGAAAATAATTAAAAATAATTTTGTTCTTCCATTTTTTATCTGATCACATACCAGATGTTACAACATGTTAAAGTTAAATGATTTTTGTCCACTATACTATTGTTATTTTATTGTTTCAAATACAATAGTTTTCATTTTCTACGCAGTCACATTGACTAATTTTTTAGATTAAGAGATGACAAATAAGATAGCAGAAGAGGATTTTAAGATTTTTTGTGAAAACTAGTAAAATAAATAATTTATGAGTAATCGAAATAGGTTATTTCTGCTTCTAGTATTATAAAACCAAATCAATTATAATTTTTCACTTAAAATTAAATATGAATCTTTCAAAAATCTTAAATAACATCAGTTGATCAGATAAAAAACATTTCAAGAACATAATTGTAATTTTTTTTATATTATCAATTAAAAAATAGGTAAACTTCTATTTAAGAACTACTAACTTTGTACAACTTGCGCAATAGCTGTTTCATCAGTAATGTGTACAGGCATAACCAAACGCTTGTAATGTCAACGGTGTAGGATCATCATCACTCAACTCTAGACTGGACTTGTATATAGGTGAAAAAATAGATATAAAGTAAGAATAGAGATAAATGAATGGAGAAAGAATTCTGGATTTTACAACATTGTATGATCTTGTATGGTTTTTATTTATTTTGGAAAGATGGAAGAACATTATATAACTTATAGGAGTAGGAATGTTATGTGTGTAATAGATTTGTTAGATTTGTAAAGAATACTCCAAAGGAGTTTGTTGATGAGAATAAAAGTAGAATGCCAGGAAATAAGAAAACCGGGCGGTGGGATGAGAACGTTCAAAAAATCATAGAAAGTAAGAAAAAGCAATTCAAAGTATGACAGAAAAGCAAAAGGAGAGAAGATTGCATCGAATATAAACGCTTGTGTAAAGAATCCAAGTGTGCTGTATGTAAGGCAAAGTTTAAGAGGAATGATTGGCTAGAAACAAAGAAAAGTGAAAAAAAAGTCTATAGACTTGCAAAAGTAAAAAAAAGTTGTCTGATTATTACATTAAGATCATAATATAAGGTATATAAAAAATGATTATAAGAGGATGTTAACAAACGCTGATGACGTGAAAAAAGGTGGAAAGAGTGTTTTGAAAAATTATTGAATGAGAAGTATCCAAGAGAGACATTAGAAAATATATTATGGAACGAAAGACTATTAGATGTAATTAGTGAGCAAGAGGTATAGGCTGTAGCATTAATGAAAAATAATAAAGTAGTAAGACTAGATGAAGTGCCAGTAGAAGAATGGAAAATATTAGGCAGTGTTGGCATAAGATAGTTGAAGGATAATTTTCATAAAATTCTATTAAAAGGGAAAATACCAAATTAATGGAGGAATAATATTGTGGTGGCGATATTTAAAGCAAAGGAGAAATACAGAAGTGTGGAAATTATTGAGGGATATAGCTTATGAATCATAGTATGAAAATTTTGGGAAGATGGTAATAGAAAAAAAATAAAAGGAGAAACATCAATAATAAAGAACCAGTTTAGTTTTTTCCTTGGAAAGTCAATGATGGAGCCAGAATTCTGTGTGAGACAATAGAAAAGTATAAGGAAAAAAAACGGTAGCACAGTGGGGTCGAGGCACAGTGTGGACGAGGCATAGATTAGCATAATCTGGCAATTGACATAATATGATTGTTGTTTCGGAATGTACAATTTAGCGTTTAGTTGGGTTTAAATAATATAGCGTCAAATCAATTACCTACCCTATCGCTTGTATATTAATATACACTACACTTTAATGATACAATAAATAAATAAACTGACACATACACACATATGCATTTATAACATTGTGTCTAACGTAAGTGTAACATGATAAAAAGTAACCGTAAAATGAAAAAAATGGAATATAAATTTTAGTACTCATATTAAATGTAATGTAACTCGAAAAATATTTGTTTAAATGAAAAAATATACGATACTTTTTTTGTTTATAATTGTCTTTTAAACAACTTTTGTACGAAACTTTTTTTTGTAAGTTAAATATTTTTTGAGAAAATTAAAAAAGCTCATATTTTTGAACTTTTGCGAGGCTGTAAAAAAAAAGCTCAATTCCAATCTTGAGGACTATTAGTATGTCATTATACATATTTTAATTCAACTTTTAAAAACAAACAGTTTTTATTGAAAATTATTGTATCAAGCCCTTTAAATTTTTATACACGTAAAAGTAAAGCAAAATATAACTTCTTTATTATTTTTATAATTTCTCCGTTTAAATTACAATATTAAATATCAATTTCATACTAAATTTAATAATTATAATTAGTATATATTCATATATTATATTTTAAAATCAAAGAACTACTAATCATGATATAATTAAAGAAATAAGAGTTGATGTTGCTTTTGGAATAATCCACCAATTGCCTAATTAAAACAAAAAAAAAAAAAGTTTGTTGGGAATTTTTTCTGCTATTCTTCAAAATTACTCCTTCGTTGACTAGAATGAATCATTAAATAGAAAATTTTATGAGAATTAAAACAATGTTATTTTTAAGATTAATATGCAGTCAGAAAGTTTTATAATTACTATTTATTGTAAATTTATCAGAAAAACTCATTATTTTTTGCATTTTTATCGTATTAGAACACTTAAATAGAAATCATAGTAATCATTTCTAAGTAATTTTTGATATTTAAAAAGATTCTACTATTGAAATATCCAGAATTGAATTAATTTTAATGATTTACTTTAACTAAAAAAAAAAACGCTAATCTTTATAACACAGATACGCGCGTACTCGTAACACGCACTGGTTTTTTTCCATAGTGATGATGAAATTACTAGGGAAATACAAGGAGAGATACCGTGGTGTATGTTGTTTGCTGACGATATAATGTTAATAGAAAAGAATAGGGAAAAAATTAATCAAAGGCTGTAGGTATGGACATCAGCTTTTAAAAGAAAAGGAATTAAGATAAGTAAGGTAATAAGATTAATAAGTAGGTGTAAGACAGAGTTTATAGAGTACGAGTTTGACAAAAAAATACAAGAGATAGGTGAAATGAGGAGAGATCAGTAACAATAAGTTAGAATGTGATAAGTGAGATTAAAAGTTTTAAGTATTTTGATTCAGTTGTATAAAAGATTATATTTTGAATATTATTTTGTAAAAAAAAATTTTTTTCAACATTTGAAAATAACCAAAATATTGTATTAAAATGTAATTTTTCTTTCAAAACTTTTTAATAGGTTGATAATAATTTGAAAACAAGAGTTATTGAAATATATACTAGTGACCTAATATATTTATATATATAATCAGTAATTTATTTAGTATTTTACTCTATGAGTGCAAGAGGGTCGTCTTTCTTCAAAAAGTATTTTCTGATAATCGACTTATAAATTTCAACTTTCTATAAGAGTTACTTTGTATGTTACATTTATTTAGAATTCATATTAAGTTCTAGTCAAGTCTCAAATAAGTAGTGCAGAAATTTAGATCAGACACTTACTGAGAAGTCAATAATCTAAAAGGCGTAATAATTGAAGCTCCCCGAAAATTGAATGGAAATAATTATATTAAAATGAGTAAAAATGAAAAATTTCAATAAGTAAAAAGTTAAAAATAAACAAATCATAAATTTAACATAATTTAAAAAAGACATTAATTTTAAATAAAATTAAAGAACTCATAATGTGAATTTTTTTTATTTATAATTTTCTAATTTATGAAGAACACTAGTACAACTATGGAGGACCTCTATTAGAGACTCTACCTACAAATTCAAAAATTATCACTCCTTTTAAAGAAAATATCCATAGAAATATATTAATTTTTATATTATTAAAAACATAACTATAAAAACATATTTTAACATATCTATAACAAACGATAAAGTAGGATTGGCAATAGTTTACAATAATCGTAAATAAAATATACCGTACCAATAGAAATGTCCATTAACACAGCGGGGAATCAACAATTTTTAAAGTAATAGAATATTTTAACGAAAATAATTAAAATGAAGAAAATAACGTCATTTTCAACAATTTTCATAGCATACTCAAAAACTTACAAAACACATAAAGACAAGGATGTAAGTAGATTAACAATAAAAAAAAAAAAAAACCCAGCACAGGGGGATCGCGGCACAGTTGTGACGTGGTATAGTTGGATCAGTATAATGATATCTGACAGTGATTAAAATCACTATCAAAAATAAACGCTTCGATGCAAATCTTTAGATAGTGCTTAATCTAAAAAAAATTGGTGTTTTATTCCAAAAGCTACTTGATCTGCTGGTTCCTTATTAATATCTCGATAAAGATAAAGTATGTCAAATGAAAAAGGGTTTATTAAAAAATATTATTTCTCATAAAAAAATTGTGTGGATCCATAAACTTTTCAATAAGTTATAGCATTATAAAATTAAATATTATATAAATAATAAAATCGA